ATGTTATTCCCCCCCTCAGTGGTCACAATGTTACGGATGATTGGTGGGTATACAGTATATAGAAGTGTCCTGCGAACGTTTTCATGTAAACGCATGCAATCTTCCTCTTCAGTTCGGTTTCACATCTACGATAATGCGTTTTTTTACCCGGCACAGGAAGGGTTAATCAGCGTCCGCCATTACGATGGAAATTTATTATTTTGCCATATCAAAATCTTCCAGCGCTATTCGTCCGTGAACGGGGGTCGTCACGGCGAGGAACGTTGTCCCGGAGGATTCCGGGAAACGTCAGCGAATTCTGCGCTTTTTAGTGAGCGAGGTGCAACCGGCGAGGGACGAATTAATACCCCGGCCTTCAAAACCGAGGATGGTAGAACGTGAGAATCCAAATGGTGGCCTTGTGCTGATTCATGGGGCGTTGTGGGAGTTAAAGTGGACCTGTCATCATCTCTATCGTAATGCAAACCGTTGGCGCTAGGGATGTCCTGATACCACTTTTTTTTTTAAGACCAAGTACAAGTTCTGTCCCCCCAGGTACTCACCGATACCAATTACTGATACTTTTTCTTAAAGGGACAGGTGACATTTTATTCTAAAACACCACAGATTGATGATTTTAGGGCAGTTTCTCACCAGAACTGAACACATTGTTGGGAAGACAGGTTCTCTTTATGACATATCAGACAAAAGCTGGGAGCCGCCGCTGATCACTGAAGCGAGAAAGGTTACACACATGCGTCGGTGCGCACCGGCTATCGCGGGTCACGTTCCCACACGCATCGCACATGGAGATACGCCGGAAGGTTTCGCCTCCTCATAGGTCAGCCGTCACATCTGCTGCAACACGCGTGCAGAGAGCAGAAAACGCAGCAACCGGGCCGCGGCTGTGCACGGCGACACAAGTATTCAATGATCATTGTATGTCACTGCTCTGATAACAAAACCATTACAGACCAAGTGCTCTGCACCCCACCACCAATGACAGCTCAACAGGGCACACTGAGCAGCTCAGGGATGGTGGGAGCCCCTCATAATGGGCACAGCAGGTGTACAGACCCGGGAACTCAGCACAGGGATGGTGGGGGCCCCTCATAATGGGCACAGCAGGTGTACAGACCCGGGAACTCAGCACAGGGATGGTGGGGGCCCCTCATAATGGGCACAGCAGGTGTACAGACCCGGGAACTCAGCACAGGGATGGTGGGGGCCCCTCATAATGGGCACAGCAGGTGTACAGACCCGGGAACTCAGCACAGGGATGGTGGGGGCCCCTCATAATGGGCACAGCAGGTGTACAGACCCGGGAACTCAGCACAGGGATGGTGGGGGCCCCTCATAATGGGCACAGCAGGTGTACAGACCCGGGAACTCAGCACAGGGATGGTGGGGGCCCCTCATAATGGGCACAGCAGGTGTACAGACCCGGGAACTCAGCACAGGGATGGTGGGGGCCCCTCATAATGGGCACAGCAGGTGTACAGACCCGGGAACTCAGCACAGGGATGGTGGGGGCCCCTCATAATGGGCACAGCAGGTGTACAGACCCGGGAACTCAGCACAGGGATGGTGGGGGCCCCTCATAATGGGCACAGCAGGTGTACAGACCCGGGAACTCAGCACAGGGATGGTGGGGGCCCCTCATAATGGGCACAGCAGGTGTACAGACCCGGGAACTCAGCACAGGGATGGTGGGGGCCCCTCATAATGGGCACAGCAGGTGTACAGACCCGGGAACTCAGCACAGGGATGGTGGGGGCCCCTCATAATGGGCACAGCAGGTGTACAGACCCGGGAACTCAGCACAGGGATGGTGGGGGCCCCTCATAATGGGCACAGCAGGTGTACAGACCCGGGAACTCAGCACAGGGATGGTGGGGGCCCCTCATAATGGGCACAGCAGGTGTACAGACCCGGGAACTCAGCACAGGGATGGTGGGGGCCCCTCATAATGGGCACAGCAGGTGTACAGACCCGGGAACTCAGCACAGGGATGGTGGGGGCCCCTCATAATGGGCACAGCAGGTGTACAGACCCGGGAACTCAGCACAGGGATGGTGGGGGCCCCTCATAATGGGCACAGCAGGTGTACAGACCCGGGAACTCAGCACAGGGATGGTGGGGGCCCCTCATAATGGGCACAGCAGGTGTACAGACCCGGGAACTCAGCACAGGGATGGTGGGGGCCCCTCATAATGGGCACAGCAGGTGTACAGACCCGGGAACTCAGCACAGGGATGGTGGGGGCCCCTCATAATGGGCACAGCAGGTGTACAGACCCGGGAACTCAGCACAGGGATGGTGGGGGCCCCTCATAATGGGCACAGCAGGTGTACAGACCCGGGAACTCAGCACAGGGATGGTGGGGGCCCCTCATAATGGGCACAGCAGGTGTACAGACCCGGGAACTCAGCACAGGGATGGTGGGGGCCCCTCATAATGGGCACAGCAGGTGTACAGACCCGGGAACTCAGCACAGGGATGGTGGGGGCCCCTCATAATGGGCACAGCAGGTGTACAGACCCGGGAACTCAGCACAGGGATGGTGGGGGCCCCTCATAATGGGCACAGCAGGTGTACAGACCCGGGAACTCAGCACAGGGATGGTGGGGGCCCCTCATAATGGGCACAGCAGGTGTACAGACCCGGGAACTCAGCACAGGGATGGTGGGGGCCCCTCATAATGGGCACAGCAGGTGTACAGACCCGGGAACTCAGCACAGGGATGGTGGGAGCTCCTCATAATCGGCACAGCAGGTGTATAGACTCGGGAACTCAGCTCAGGGATGGTGGGAGCTCCTCATAATGGGCACAGCAGGTGTATAGACTCGGGAACTCAGCTCAGGGATGGTGGGAGCTCCTCATAATCGGCACAGCAGGTGTATAGACTCGGGAACTCAGCTCAGGGATGGTGGGAGCTCCTCATAATCGGCACAGCAGGTGTATAGACTCGGGAACTCAGCTCAGGGATGGTGGGAGCTCCTCATAATCGGCACAGCAGGTGTATAGACTCGGGAACTCAGCTCAGGGATGGTGGGAGCTCCTCATAATGGGCACAGCAGGTGTACAGACCCGGGAACTCAGCACAGGGATGGTGGGGGCCCCTCATAATGGACACAGCAGGTGTAGAGATTTGGGAACAGGCTACAAAGGCAACATTCCAATGCCCTCCACAACACTGTGACCTTGGCTTTTCATGAGATCGGAGTTTTGTTCTAACTTTCGGCACAGCTCTGCCTGTCACCAGCTGAAAGTCGCCTTGCTAAGTGTGACGCGTGACATTGTTATTCGCGTCACACAGCGCGCCTGGCGCTGTCACCGTGTAGCGATTAACCCTCCTGGAATACGAGCCCCGGCACCTGTGTTATTCTCTGACCTTTAACATCTCCTCGTGTATGGAGAAGTGCCCGTAGGAGCTGAAGTAGGCGCAGTCCTCGCTCTCATCCAGATCGGCGATGGCCCCAGCGGAAGACGAACCACATCTGACATCTGCGTTCATCACAAAATCCTGCGCAAGTTGTCTGTAATCAATTTGAAAGATACCCCTGAGACGAGATCTCCGAACCGTGAAAATGAATAGAGGACGAGAGTGAGCGTGCTGCGCAGACGGGGGAGAGAGCGCTGGCCAGTGCTGTGCTGCCCTCTAGTGGCCACACAGTGCACTGCTACTACAGGGAGCATGAGAAGCTTCCATATAAGTGCCCATTCACAATGGTGTGTTGCGTTAACGTGCGTTATGCCGTGCACTGACATCCTGACGGCCTATATGGAATGACGAAGTACAGGAAGACCTGCAGTATTCATTGTGACATAGCACAGAACTGCACTGGCAGGGTGCACTGGGGTCCCATCAACAATGAATGGCCCCACATCACACCAACACGCTTTACCGCACCGCACTAGTGTCAATGGGTTTCCGGAAGAAGAACTGCTGCCTAGAATAGCCAATCACAAGGAGCCTTATTAATCAATTATCCGATACGACCCGTCTGCAGCACCTCACAGCTGGTGATGGGATTTAGATCTTCACTCTCTGGACCCCATTGGTTAATACACACCATGAGATATAAGATGAGCTGCTCCTTTCATTCCAAAACACAGAGCTGGGATCAAAACATTCTGCGGGCGGGAGGGAGGGGGGCAGCATCAGAAACCTTCCCTACACTCACCTTGTCTGCATTAACGATAAGAGGAAGGGAGGGGAGGAAAGGAAGGAAGGAGGAATGGAGGAAAGGAAGGAAGGATGGAGGAAAGGAAGGAAGGATGGAAGGAAGGAAGGATGGAGGAAAGGAAGGAAGGATGGAAGGAAGGAAGGATGGAGGAAAGGAAGGAAGGAAGGAGGAAATGAAGGAAGGATGGAGGAAATGAAGGAAGGATGGAGGAAAGGAAGGAAGGAAGGATGGATGGAGGAAAGGAAGGAAGGATGGAGGAAATGAAGGAAGGATGGAGGAAAGGAAGGAAGGAAGGATGGATGGAGGAAAGGAAGGAAGGAAGGATGGAGGGAAGGAATGAAGGATGGAAGGAAGGAAAGAAGGTAGGAAAGGAGGAAAGGAAGGAAAGGAGGAAAGGAAGGAAAGGAAGGAAAGGAAGGAAAGGAAAGAAAGGAAGGAAAGGTGAGGACGGGAGAAAGGAAGGAAGGATGGAGGAAAGGAAGGAAGGAAGGATGGATGGAGGAAAGGAAGGAAGGAAGGATGGAGGGAAGGAATGAAGGATGGAAGGAAGGAAAGAAGGTAGGAAAGGAGGAAAGGAAGGAAAGGAGGAAAGGAAGGAAAGGAAGGAAAGGAAGGAAAGGAAAGAAAGGAAGGAAAGGTGGAAAGGAGGAAAGGAAGGAAAGGTGGAAAGGAAGGAAAGGAGGAAAGGAAGGAAAGGAGGAAAGGAAGGAAAGGAGGAAAGGAAGGAAAGGAGGAAAAAAGGATGGAAGGAATGATGGATGAAAGAAAAGGAAAGGAAGAAAGGAGGGAAAGAAGGAAGAAGGGAAGGAAGGGGAATAGGGGAAGGAAGAGTAGGGAAGGAAGGGGAAAGGGAGGGAATGAAAGTGGGAAGGAAAAGAGGGATTCAGGACTCTATAATGTTCATGTTACTAACAGGAAATCGATGAACCATTAAATAAAAGCTCACAGATGTGGCCGGCCTTCCATTACCACCAAAGCCGGCCACACATGTTCCATGTCTGTGAAGTCTCCTTCACATTTTCCCGGCATCTAAACAATCCATTCACTTCATATCCAATCAGGTCGTCCCAAAGGCTACACTGTTTTTGGTCAATCACACGGTGACATGTTTCAAGCTTATAAAGACTTTTTGCACAATGTATCGCCCCGGCACAAACCTCGTTTTCTGGAGCTCTTGGAGAGCGTTGGCTAAGCGCGCTTCTGCTGCCTGCGCCCGGCTCTCCGCTTCCATCAGTCGGCGGTGCATGGAGGGCTCGGCGTTTGCGTCCTGAGCCCCGCTGCCGTCACAAGCCATGTCCTCCACATCTGCCACATCAATCAGGAAAGAACAAAACATCAGTAACAAAACTCTCATCTCATCAAAACCACTTGAGGATTGTGAACGCAGGAGATACGTCCTAAAAAACATACGGACGCACCTCTTACCTCCAGCTGGACAAAGACACACACAGAAAAACAATGGTTAGGAGGGAGAAGGTGAAGAAGGTGTTAATTAGGGTAAGCAAAGGGTTAGAAAAGGGAGTAAAGAAATTAATAAGTGCTAAATTTCATTTTTTTTTAAAGTAGCAAATCAATGAAAACAAAGACGTTACTTTGCATCTCTCCATTTCCTGTCTGAGCCTCCATAGAGCTTTGGGTCACGGGAGGGCGCTAGTTTATGTCCTCCGGTGACCCTTAGGAGAACACTTACCCCATAGTTCTCTTTTAAGGGCGAGCCTTCTCCTGTGATTATTTTTTGTGGTTTTCAGGCTCCAGCATTATTATTTTAAAGTTAGTTACTAGGCAGAAGAAACTTTTTTTTACATGTTCCTATTGCAGTCTAAGGGGCCAAAAAACGTGCCATTCTGCCCCCAAAAAAGCTTTTTATAAACAATGTGTCACATGATCCACTTTTTGACAGCAGCTTCTATATCTACACAGCAGCTCCGGCAATTGCTAGGAAGGGAGCAGAAGACGGGCAGAACTACGACACACGTTCCTCACGTTTCATGAAGTCTGATGTGAGGAGAACGTTCAAAGTCCACAAATGGAGAAACTTGGAGTTCAATTTTAGGCCGCAAAACGGCATTCTGAATGGAACATCCCAAAGTGACGCCACATGGCTCGGGGGTGAAAAGGTGACAACACAGAAAGCTGAACCAATGACCTATCTGCCCCCCCCCAACCATCCCTCACCGTACTGCAACAACATGTCATCTTCAATCACCGGCTTGAAGAAGTCATCTTTATCCCAAGGCTTCGGCCTGCTGATGTTTTGTAGACTGTCTACTGTACAGTTCTGAGAAGAGAGAAGATCCCAACGGCAAATGTTACATAATGAGCCCGTCATCCTCCTGCTTCAAATGTAACAGTAATGTGCCAAGTGCAGTGAAGAGAGCCACAAAGGACGCACACAAGTCCCAATCCGCAATCTCCTTATCGATTTACCATCAACTATGAACCTAGAACCTCCGGCCTTCCCTTCAGTCTTCTATCTGACCTCCGGCCTCCCCATCAGTCTTATATCTGACCTCTGTCCTTCCCTTCAGTCTCATATCTGACCTCCGTCCTTCCCTTCAGTCTTCTATCTGACCTCCGGCCTCCCCATCAGTCTTCTATCTGACCTCTGTCCTTCCCTTCAGTCTTCTATCTGACCTCCGTCCTTCCCTTCAGTCTTCTATCTGACCTCCGTGCTTCCCTTCAGTCTCATATCTGACCTCCGTCCTTCCCTTCAGTCTTCTATCTGACCTCCGTCCTTCCCTTCAGTCTTCTATCTGACCTCCGGCCTCCCCATCAGTCTTCTATCTGACCTCCGTCCTTCCCTTCAGTCTCATATCTGACCTCCGTCCTTCCCTTCACTCTTCTATCTGACCTCCGTCCTTCCCTTCACTCTTCTATCTGACCTCCGTCCTTCCCTTCAGTCTTATATCTGACCTTCGGCCTTCCCTTCAGCCTTCTATCTGACCTCCGTCCTTCCCTTCAGTCTTCTATCTGACCTCCAGCCTCCCCCTCAGTCTTGCACAGTTGTACTGGCTCCTCCCCTCTTCCTCTGATGCCACTGCACACTGGGAGCTTCTCACAATGTGCATTAGAAGCTGCAGCAGATCAGATAGAGCCCCGCCTCATTTGCTGGCTGGAGGTCATCCAGCCCTTTCCTCCCCAGCCTGACTGTCCCTGGCCCCGCCCCTTTTATTCATTGGATATCAGATCTTTCAATCATGGAGACTCAGCAACACAGGTGGCCGTTACCAATGCAAATACACCCTGCCTAGGAACGCCCACTCCTCCAGACTGACACCCGCCCATCAAAGCATCTGACATTAGCATAACTCCTCCCAAGAGCCCGCCCACTGCTTGTATCAGGGCTGAGGACTCTTGAGAGGAGTACTGCGGCGCGGTGCTGTGATGTTTTCAGAAATCTATGTACAGCACCCTGCTGGCCCCTCCCACCAGCCCTAATCTACCTGCAATGCACAAGGAATCACAAGGAGCCAGTGATGACATCACTGCATATAAAAAAAAAAGGTATGTAATGAAAATGTCATCAGCATGTTGATGGGGGAGGGGGGGGGGGGGGGGGAGACCAGAGAAGGTAAAATATAAGCAGACTGAATAATAATAAAAGTCCTGACTATATAATAAACGCTCGGCGGTCTCTTAGTCCGTCGGCAGTGAATCATACTCACTGTGGATCGGACGAAATTAATAAATTTGATGTAGCCGTAGAAGTCCAAACCTGCAACACAGAACAAGAACTCTAATTAGCAATGCCGAGGCTCATAAAGAGGAGGACAACTATGGCCGAAAAATAGGGTTCCAGTGATCATCAGAAGGGAATTCATTACAATGTATCTATAGCTGAAACCTCGCTCTTTGTGGATGGAGAGAGGAAGGGTCGGGACCCCTGTCAGGTTTATACTTCTAGTAAATAAAAGTAAATCACCGGCACACACTCGAAGGGTTTTTAAAGTATTGATATGTTTATTCAACAACAAATGTCACATACTGTCATGCGGTGCTAACGTTTCGGGTCCGCGCAGGGATCCTTCATCAGAGCGACAGCGTGTCACTGTGGCTCTGATGAAGGATCCCTGTGCGGGCCCGATGTGTTGAATAAACATATCAATACTTTAAAAACCCTTCGAGTGTGTGCCGGGGATTTACTTTTATTAGTGTTTTGCGCGGCGCCATCCACGTGGTCACCTGGGCACCACATGTACCTTGTGGTTTTGAGACCGTGGCAGTGCGAATGGGATTTGGACTTTGCTGTGAGGTTTATAATTCTGTCTGTGGACCAGCTGGGGGAGATTCACCTTCTCTATATGTAAAAGACGCCATTGTCAACCCTACAGGGATAGAATCCTCCAATGGGGACGCCTGTTCCAGTGGCAGGGGATCTCTGCTGTTGTTGTTGCCTGCCCACCAGCATGCAGGAATCACAAACACTGAAACACACAAACACTGAAAGGTGACAGTGTGAAATCCTGCTGGAAAGGGACCTTCATATTTTTATATAGTTACATAGTATTTGGGGTTGAATAAAGACACCGGTCCATCAAGTTCAACCTTTGTGTGTGTGTGTGTACAGCAGTCCGTGTGATCTTGTTTCTAAGAGTACCTGTCCCCTGTATGTTGCTGTCTCTGAGGAAGGTATATCATTGACTTTTCAATGATTCAACACGCTCAGCTGATACCACTGCTTGTGGCAGAGAGTTCCAAAATGTAACCGCTCTGACTGAAAAGAAGCCCCTACGTCCTTTGTGGATAAATCTTTTCTCCAGCCAGGGGCATAACTAGAAATCACAGGGCCCCATAGCAAAATTTTGTATGGGGCCCTGTGGTTTCTAGCTATATCCCTTGCAGAGCCCGCCTGAGATTCCAAACAGCCCACATGAGGGTGACCCTGCAGAGCCCACCATAGACTATATGGTGGGCTCTGCAGGGTCTCAGGTGGGCTGGTCACACCCCTGCACACCTCTTACCTGTCAGCCCCGATCCGCTGTCCGCCTCCTCCTCCTGCACAGGGCCCCGCTCCCTTCCATCGTCAGGCCCCTCCTCCTCTGACATCACCAGTCCCACCTCCTCTTCTGCTGCAGGGCCCCCCCTCCTCCACCGCTGCCGAGGCCCAGCATCCATCCTTTCACAGCAGCGGCTGTGAGGAGGAAGGCGCCACAGCACAGATCACTGATAGGTTGTCGGTGATCTAACAGCGACACGTTCCTCTTCATGGCCGCCAGTGACAGCCAGCAGCCTGAGATGCCATAGCGACCCACACGGCATTAGGGGGATGTCCTGGCCGGGCCACCCTGTGCCCCCATAGCGGCCGCCTGGGTTACTATGGCGATTGTTACGCCACTGTCTCCACCAGTTTTAGGTGGTGGCCTCTAGTCCTTGTTATGGAGTTTAGAGTAAAAACTGTATTGCGGATGTTGCCGTCACCAGAGAACATTTTGTACATCAAAATCACGTCCCCTCTTAATCTCCTCACTTCCAGCGTGAACACGTTTAAGTTTAGCACCCTTGTCCCATAGCTTAGGTCCTCCAGCCCCTTAATTATTTTAGTTGCCCTTCTCTGGACTCTATCCAGCTCCAGGACGTCCTTTCTGTGGATTGGTGACCAGAACTGGACCGCGTACTCCACATGAGGCCGAACCAGCGATCTATACAGTGGCAGAATTATCGCATACTAAGAAGGAATGATCAGATCGGGGGAGGGGAACCTCAACAACCATTTACACAGTACAGAGAGGGACACACCGTATGTGGAGACAAACTCCCGGATGTTGAACCGATGCTGGTCCTGGCAGTGATGGAAGACTTCCTCCGGAGACGGAAATATCCTGTGTGATATACAAGGCAACGGTGTTATATATTGTCACCGGCAAGTGGGCGGAGCTGGGAACTCAGAGATCTCATCACTGGAATCCCCAGGAGGTAAAGGAGGCCACTGGTTTAGGCAGCGTTTGTGGACTAGGGTTCTGCAAAACCTTGGGGTTCCTTTACCAGTAACAAAGCATTCGCCCCACTGACCACCAATGTAAGGGTTCATCCCTCCCCCTGACCACCAATGTAAGGGTTCCTCTCTCCCCCTGACCTCCAATGTAAGGGTTCCTCTCTCCCCCTGACCTCCAATGTAAGGGTTCCTCTCTCCCCCTGACCTCCAATGTAAGGGTTCCTCTCTCCCCCTGACCTCCAATGTAAGGGTTCCTCTCTCCCCCTGACCTCCAATGTAAGGGTTCCTCTCTCCCCCTGACCTCCAATGTAAGGGTTCCTCTCTCCCCCTGACCTCCAATGTAAGGGTTCCTCTCTCCCCCTGACCTCCAATGTAAGGGTTCCTCTCTCCCCCTGACCTCCAATGTAAGGGTTCCTCTCTCCCCCTGACCTCCAATGTAAGGGTTCCTCTCTCCCCCTGACCTCCAATGTAAGGGTTCCTCTCTCCCCCTGACCTCCAATGTAAGGGTTCCTCTCTCCCCCTGACCTCCAATGTAAGGGTTCCTCTCTCCCCCTGACCTCCAATGTAAGGGTTCCTCTCTCCCCCTGACCTCCAATGTAAGGGTTCCTCTCTCCCCCTGACCTCCAATGTAAGGGTTCCTCTCTCCCCCTGACCTCCAATGTAAGGGTTCCTCTCTCCCCCTGACCTCCAATGTAAGGGTTCCTCTCTCCCCCTGACCTCCAATGTAAGGGTTCCTCTCTCCCCCTGACCTCCAATGTAAGGGTTCCTCTCTCCCCCTGACCTCCAATGTAAGGGTTCCTCTCTCCCCCTGACCTCCAATGTAAGGGTTCCTCTCTCCCCCTGACCTCCAATGTAAGGGTTCCTCTCTCCCCCTGACCTCCAATGTAAGGGTTCCTCTCTCCCCCTGACCTCCAATGTAAGGGTTCCTCTCTCCCCCTGACCTCCAATGTAAGGGTTCCTCTCTCCCCCTGACCTCCAATGTAAGGGTTCCTCTCTCCCCCTGACCTCCAATGTAAGGGTTCCTCTCTCCCCCTGACCTCCAATGTAAGGGTTCCTCTCTCCCCCTGACCTCCAATGTAAGGGTTCCTCTCTCCCCCTGACCTCCAATGTAAGGGTTCCTCTCTCCCCCTGACCTCCAATGTAAGGGTTCCTCTCTCCCCCTGACCTCCAATGTAAGGGTTCCTCTCTCCCCCTGACCTCCAATGTAAGGGTTCCTCTCTCCCCCTGACCTACCAATGTAAGGGTTCCTCTCTCCCGCTGACCACCAATGTAAGGATTCATCCCTCCCCCTGACCTCCAATATAAGGGTTCATCCCTCCCTCTGACCTCCAATGTAAGGGTTCATCCCTCCCCCTGACCTCCAATGTAAGGGTTCATCCCTCCCCCTGACCTACCAATGTAAGGGTTCATCCCTCCCCGTGACCTACCAATGTAAGGGTTTCTCTCTCCCACTGACCTCCAATGTAAGGGTTCCACGACTGCCCCAGGGGGGGAGGGGTGTTCCACGTCCTGACCAAAGCCCTGGGGGATTCCATGAACTGACCAGGGCCCCCGGGGGGATTCCATGACCTGACCAGGGCCCCGGGGGGATTCCATGACCTCACCAGGGCCCCCGGGGGGATTCCATGACCTGACCAGGGCCCCCGGGGGGATTCCATGACCTGACCAGGGCCCCCGGGGGGATTCCATGACCTGACCAGGGCCCCCGGGGGGATTCCATGCCCTGACCAGGGCCCCCGGGGGGATTCCATGACCTGACCAGGGCCCCCGGGGGGATTCCATGACCTGACCAGGGCCCCCGGGGGGATTCCATGACCTGACCAGGGCCCCCGGGGGGATTCCATGACCTGACCAGGGCCCCCGGGGGGATTCCATGACCTGACCAGGGCCCCCGGGGGGATTCCATGACCTGACCAGGGCCCCCGGGGGGATTCCATGACCTGACCAGGGCCCCCGGGGGGATTCCATGACCTGACCAGGGCCCCCGGGGGGATTCCATGACCTGACCAGGGCCCCCGGGGGGATTCCATGACCTGACCAGGGCCCCCGGGGGGATTCCATGACCTGACCAGGGCCCCCGGGGGGATTCCATGACCTGACCAGGGCCCCCGGGGGGATTCCAAGGTTCCCCCCCCCCCGTGGCCTACCAATGTAAGGGTTTCTCTCTCCCACTGACCTCCAATGTAAGGGTTCCACGACTGCCCCAGGGGGGGAGGGGTGTTCCACGTCCTGACCAAAGCCCTGGGGGATTCCATGAACTGACCAGGGCCCCCGGGGGGATTCCATGACCTGACCAGGGCCCCGGGGGGATTCCATGACCTGACCAGGGCCCCCGGGGGGATTCCATGACCTGACCAAAGCCCCGGGGGGATCCCATGACCTGACCAGGGCCCCGGGGGGGATTCCATGACGTAGCCAAGGCCCCTGGGGGGGATTCCATGACCTGTATGGAGAGTATTGGGGTCTCTCAGGGTCTGAGCACAGTGTGAGATGTATCATTAGGTGTCGGGGGATTCTACCTCTCACAGAACAGACAGCGCGCTTCCTGCTGCAATCCAGAGTCCTCATCATCCCAGGCCGCATCATCCCCATCCCCATCTTCACAGTCTATCAGGTCCGGGGCGTCATCGAGATCTTCATCATCTGGAAGTGAAAACACAGATGTACACTTACAGCCAACACTTAGGGTTAGGGCAGGGAAGGGTTGGGGCCCCTTTTGGGCTTTTATTACAATATGTGTCCATATTGGGGAGATTTGCTCTCACTTCCTGTCATGACAGGAAGTGATTGGAATTCAGTGCAACGGGGATTCATACAAAAATAAATTAGTGGCTCAGTGACAGTGGACACACTGAGCTCACAGCAGACAAGGTCCCATTGGCGAGCCTCAGAAATAACCGTATAACTGGCTCCTGAGATCCGCCATCACCTCCAGCCAGAGAGGAACTACAAGTCCCAGCAAAGACCGCAGCAGTCCCGGTGTATCTGCTCACTCACATGTCTCCCAGCGCTGCGCCATCTTCCCTGTGACAGTCTGCAGCCACGCCCACTAACTTCCGGCTGCGAGCTCTGGGAACACGCCCACAGTCACATGGGCTGGAGAGAACGCGTCGTTTTGTTGCCATAGAAACCGTTGGGAAGGGCGTTCTATTGGATATCAGAGAGATACAATGTGAGGGGGGG